TATCAGGCTGGTTAGGATTGACGAGAAAACGTTTTGTTTGGTCTCTGGTTATGTGACCCATTCTGTACTGTTTTTCATATCGGTGTTTTGTATTTATGGATTTGAGAATGCTGGGTGTTAGCCAGGGACTGTTCAGTCTCTTAGCTGTCATCTGTTTAGTTTTTTTGGGGCAGTGCTTGTTATAAAGGTATTGGGTATTTTTTAGAAAATTTAAATTAAAACATTCGTCAATATCTGTATAGATTTTTAGCTCAGTGTGCCAGTAAATGTTTGTTACTGCTGTTGTGAAGTTATTAATGCTGCCTAAATTGTGAAGTCTGAAGGTGATTTTAGTAGTGTCTTGGGTATTTTACCAAGAGTTGTTATGAGGAAAGTAGGTAGTGGTCTGTGGTATTATCTGTAATTATGCCTGATTTTAAAGGGGATATGTGTTGGTCCAGATGTGGTCAAGTAGGGAAACACTAGTCTCTGTAACTCTTGTAGGTTTTGTTACTGTTGGTAGCAACATGCAGTTACTCATTTTTGTTTGTGAATTCAGTAAACGTGTGGGTCCTGGTCTTGCAGGAGATTTATAATTGAAGTCACCTGAGAGTAGTAAGTGATCTTTGTTCATGCGTGCATCAGTTATCATACTTCCTAGGTTTTGACTAAATTGGCTAATTTTTGATTGTGGAATTTCTGTAGATTTTTATCACTGTGAGGGGATTTTGTAGGTATTTGGATTTGAATTTAGCTATTATAATTCCCCCATGTTCATCCCTTGTGCAAGTATTAGTGATACATTCAGTTGGTCTGAGTAGTATATAGCTGTGCCACCCCCTTTTGGTCTGGCCTACAGTTGTGTATGGCTGTGTAACCAGGAATGGCTTTAGACATCTTTTATATCAGGCTTTAGCCAGGTTTCAGTTAGTGTAATAATGGACATATTGGCATGCAAGAATTTAGTAATGCTAGGAGGTCATCAAATGCTTGCTTAAAGATCTGTTTATTGTAGTTAAAGATAGTTATGTTGTTGTTGGCTCTGAGAAGTGCCTTGATTGTTCTGCTGTGTAGTAATTACAGTAACTGTTTGAATCATTTAAGTCATTAAATAAGAGGTTGGTATCAGGATCAAAGCTTGTAATCATAAGATTTGTAGTGAATCTATAGTTAGAATTAAGTAAAAAATAAAGTAAATATTCTAAAGCTAAAAAAAAATAGCACCTGAATTTTTTAACAAATGTAAAAAAAAAATGAGCTAAAGGGAGTTTTTTAAAGCTAAAATAAAGGAGACAATATAAAAGGGACTAAAAAAATTTGTGGTGAACAAATAAAGTGATGATCAATAAGGAGCTTGGAATATGATAGTAGGCAGTACTTTAAAGGTAATTCTTTAAAGTTTGAATTATAATATAAAATTATAATATAAAAGGGACTAATAAAAAGTTGTGGTGAATAATAAAGTGGTTTTTCAAATAAATGAGCTTTGGAGTAAATGGCAAAATAGTGAACTTATTAACTTTAGCACCTGAGAATAGCACCTTGATTTGTTTAAACAATTGCAAATATATGATCTAAGTAGTTATATAAGCTAAAATAAAGGACAAAAAATATATAAGGACTACAATTGAGTAATGGTAAACAATTAAATGGATAGATAGTCACTATGAAATAATATTGGTTTAGGAGTAAGATCTGATTTGTAATATTAAATAAGTTGAGCAGTTTATTGCACAATAAAAAGTAAAAAAAAATGAGGTAGTTGGTATCTAGCTAGCAAAAGATAGTATTGGTACTTGCAAAAAAGTAATTGGAATATACACTAATTGCACACACAATAAAAAGTGACTAAAAAAACAAGTAGTGGTAAACAAAATTAAATGGACAGGTAAGAACAATGAATAATGGTAATGTCTTGGTTTTTAATATGATAGTAAGATGGTAGACAGGTACAAAGGATAATATAAAGGGTTTGGGGTTGAAATATGCAAACTTTAAAATTTGGCAACAAAATGTTATGGGAAGTAAAAAATAATGTTTAATGTTTCAAAAGTAAAATTGAAATGGTAGTAAAAATGGTGTTTAATAAAAATTTAGTAAGTAATAATGATTACAAAAAGTGAAAAAGTAATTTTTATTTCATTCAATATTGCACTGGTAGTTATACAGAGGTTATATGCAGTACAAGGTAATTAAGAGTACCTAAGATATAAATGTGGTATAAAACAGGTAAAGGTAATTAGACAAGTAATTGTTATTAAATGTCAAAAATGTTAAGAGTAAATTGAAATTATAGTAAAAATGATAATTATTAATTTTAGTAGGTAATATCAAATTTATAGTATTTAAAAAAAAAATGAGGGAGTAATATGGGCAGAGAAAGTATCAATTCAGCTAATGTTTTAAGCAAACAATAGTAAATAAGAAAATTACATAAGGTGACTTATGCTTACTAGTAAAATCACAAAAGAGGTAGTTGATTATTTAAATACTAAGAGATTGTACAATGAAATTTGAACAATAATGGAGCAAAACATACACTACGGGTACTAGGCTTTTAAGTTGGACATTGTTTTTGTTATTCTCTGTAAGATTAGTATCCCTGAAAATCGTGATAGATCATTTTCGTTCGTGATTGTGTACAGTTGACCTACATTTGTTTTCCTAACAAGAATTTCCCATCCCGGTGAAGCATTGGTGTATTGTGTCGTTATTCTCCCGCGTAAAATTTTCTTTTCTCTATACAGGAGGTTCTGACGTTTTTTGGTAAGACACTCGTTTATGTATACCTCTTTCTTTACTTTAATAGATGCAATAATTAAGTCTTTTTTCCCCGTCATGTGAGTGGAATCTAAGCATAACACTTTTTTCTACCATGGGATCCTAGTAACCTGGCTTCTTTATTTCAGACTCAGGTACAATAACCTTTTTTGGTCCTTTATGGATCTGGGAGAGTAATTTCTTTACTGTTTGCTTGGTTCATATCACTGGAAAAAGTGGACTGTTAACTATTACTGCGTCCGATAGTTTATCTTGTTCAGTTTTATCTTCTTGGAGAGCAAAGTAGTCGCTGAACTGGTTATCTAAGTTTTTCTTCCATTCTTTTACGCTTCTTCAACCTTTGTATTAAGAGATATTATTTGTTGGGTATGGCTATCTATAACTGTTTGGATGGTCTTGCCACAGTTTGTCATTCCTGGTGTTGATAACTTTTGTTCAAGACTGAGGATTTTGTTCTCGAGTTGTGTCATCCTGGTGTCTTGTTTTTTTTAGCGTCTCTCCCAAGATTCATATTTTCAATAACTAAGTTGGAGATGCGTGACTTTAGGGTATCTGGATCGTTGGTCATACCTGAGAAACTACTTGGTAGGTTGAATCCGGGGAAGAGAGGGGAGGAAAGGGCTGGTGGCAGCGATGTTTGTTGTTATTGTTGTGGGGGTCGCCTTTATGGTGGTGATGGGGTGGTTGCTGGGCCGGCACCTCCTGGCTACACTTGTTGAATAGTTGATTTTTTGGGGGTTTCTTGCTGGCCTTGGTGCTGTTTCCTCTTAGATTGCGCCTCATAATACTACAGGAATTGTTGTGTTAAAAAAGAAGTTGTAGTTATACAAAGTTTAGGGTTACGTTGTTCGGGTGGCAGCGGGGTGTTGCTTTCGTTTGAGGCGGTCTTCCTTTGATCTCTATTATGTTCGATTTGTAGGGTTTTACTGTTGGTAATCTTTGGTCATTCTGGTGCTACGTTGGGTAGTGCAGTTTGCATGTAAACTAGGTCATCATAGGAGCATTTGTAGCTCTGATAGTTGGAGAAAAAGTACGGAACTCGGAGGTCGCTGCTGCCGCTGCCGCTGCCAATTTTATTCATTCTAGAGTTTATATCATAGTTCTATGTTTTTTAATATTGTTTTTTATGTCATATTGATGAATTGTGATAGATAACTAAGCCGCAGAGTTGATTTTAGCATTATTTTGTCATGCCTCCTGAGAGACTGGAACGGATTAATTGCATTTCAATTAATTTAAATGAGGAAAATTGACTCAGGATACAAACAAGTTCACGGAACGGATTAAATTCATAGCCGAGGTTCCACTGTACTGGAAACTGAAACTGAAAATGTTTATTTCTTTGTAAAGCTTACAATGTGTGGTTTACATGTTATAAAATATTAATTGCAAAGAAGGCCACTAGCATGCCTAGGCATGTGATAGAGACGATGTGAACCTTTGGTCTCAATGAAGTAATAATTAGTGCAATTAAAAAGAATGAAGAGAAAATAAGAGCCTGTACAATAAATATCCAGACTGTGACCTTCTGAAAAGAATGCCAAATAAGTCATCAAAATAGGACAAGAAACTTTCTGAATCTGGGGAACGAGCAGAAAAACCAAGAAATGTGCCTCAGTGTAAGAGGTAGAAGGAAGCCCTGAACAAGGAAAAATTCTATGCAGCAATACATAACAACTCTGGAAGTGCACTGATGCACCTAACTTATGCATCTAAGTTGGTATGGGATGAAATGTTCCAGTCAACCATAAATACAAACTGGGGTCAGTTTTGGCATTCTGCTGTGAATAATTTCTCAGGTTCTCTTCAGTGAGAAGTCCAGAAAACTGTGGTGCTGGCAAGGATGAGGTTAAGGCTTTATAGTTGATATATAAGAACAAACATAAATAAACTGATAAAAGAGGATGATGGAGAACCAACAGCAGAAGACATGTTGCTGTAGCTTTAAAAAGTCAGTGAATTTGAAGGCTATGCTGTATGCAGTATATTCTTATAACAAAAGATTTTATTGCTGATTTTCCTTTTGAGTATCAAAGTGGGCACAACCAAATGTTCAATTAGTCTGATCCACAGTTGGGTTGACAACTACTAATATATCAAATGGAGAACCTCACAAGCTGGCATCTATTCTGTCCTGTAGGTGTCACACTGGAGATATTCAACAGTATCAATTGATTTATACCTTCCTTTATTTATTGAAATTTTAAACTTAAAATGCCCTACAATGAATAATGACTTACCTGAGCTCCCATAGGTTTTGAGAGGTCTCTAAATGTATCAGGATTTGTTAAATTCAATTCTTCAGAAGTATAATCTGCTAACACCCATGGGAAGATGGGGTATTGCATCAGATCATTGTATGAACGCCCAGCTAATGTGTTTAAGTGCATCAAGTACTGAAAGTTGCTAATTTCTCCACGCTGAAAATAAAAAAAAAGACAATTACTATTAATAAAGTAACTAATATTACAGTACAGGTGATTACTATTCCTAGTCACTGTACTAAATTATCATTACAGCAGGACCCCATATCCACGGGGGACATGCTCCATGGACCTGCCGCTGGTACCGAAACAGTGGATACAGGGGTCCTACTGTATATGTTTACTGTAGTGACTAAACTGCCACCTTAAAAATAAAGTCAGCTTAATGTATATGGATAGTTAAGTGTACCCAACTACCTGTTTGAAATTCCATGAACCATCACCATAATAGCAACCTATTACGATTGATCTTAGAATTTGTAATATATTTGGCCTGAGTAAAGGAGATGCTTAGTATTGAATATACTACTCATGGAAAATCGTAATAAGGATTTATATGATGGGGAGAGGAAATGACTGCATTAAAATTTGTTTTTAATATAATGTAATTTACGAAATATTCTTTAAGGTATTTTAAAATGGTACTTTTACATATAATATAGAAATAACGCTTAAGACTTATAACTTATATACCGCTTACAATTACAGTGGACCCTCGACCAACGATATTAATCTGTTCCAGAGGGCTTGTCCTTAGCTGAATTAATTTTCCCTATAAGAAATAATGGAAATCCAATTAATCCGTTCCAGACAACCAAAAGTATTAAAAAAGAAATTTTTTTTTTTCATGAAATATACATTTCCCTACAAAGAAAACAATGAGACATGCAATATAACTACATAAATAAATGCTTAAATGACCTTTACTGAAGAGTATTGATGAGTGATGAGACTGTTATTCTTGAACACCCTGGGATTTTCAGAGTGATAAATGAGCATTACAACAAAACATGAGAGTTAGCCTGTCTTTCATAGGCTTGTGTCCTGGGAGTGCCTTTTCCTCCTGAGTAATGTAGGCCCTGTTTGGCATTTTCTTCCAGAACAGGCCTGTTTCATCACAGCTGAACACTTGTTGGGGTTGGAAATTTTTCGGCTTCGCCATGCCTTATTGCACTGTGTATGCCACTACATTTCTTAAATCTCTCAAACCAACCTTTGCTGGCCTTAAATTCACCAATATGAGCACTAGCTCCAGGCATTTTTTCCTGTTCACCTGGGTGTTAGTTGACAGTGTGGGTCGCATCCTGGGAGACAAGATTAAGGACCCCAATGGAAATAAATTAGACAGTCCTCGATGACACACTGACTTTCTTGGGTTATCCTGGGTGGCTAACCCTCTGGGGTTAATTGTTTCTCGGTAACTGTTTCTTGTTAAGCCACACCAAAAACACTCTCTCCACATCTTTGAGTAGTATAGCTGATGGTGGTGCAGCAGCAGCTGACTGTGGTGCAGCAGCAGCTGACCATGGTACAATAGTATTTCGATAGTATTTCTCACCTTTTTACCACAGGGTTGGCACTAGAAGCTTTCTTGGGGCCCATGGTGGCTTATTTAGAAGTTACAAGTGCCAAAAACAACGGAATAATACAAAGTGTATCGCATATATGCGTGGAACCGTCCGCTCTGGCTTGTAAACAATGGCACACTAACTGAAGGCAGGGCAGCTGAGGTGCTCTGGCTGGATGGACAGGCCGAAGCGTTCGGGATGAATGCTGTTACCCGAGTTTTTCACCGTTGGTCGAGCCAATATTTTTATGCAGAAATGCATCGTTAGGTGATTTTATCATTTGACGATGCCAGCGTTGGTCGAGGGTCAACTGTACCTTCATTCTGACTGAATGGGTATATACATATGAAAGAGATAGTTACATGGTCTCTCTAACCAGAGATGATCCAAGCTTAATAACCGAAACCTCTTTAAACACTGGCGAGATTTTACTTGGTGAGAGTTTCACAAATACTCTACTTTCAAGACACTGAAAGAATAATGTTATACTGCTGGATAACTACTCAATCAAAGTAAATGAAGAAGTAGAGAGGACCTTCTCAAGACTGAGAGAGGTGTTGTACTGCCTAACCCACACCACTCACCCCTGATGTCAGCTTGCATCAGGCAAGTAGTGCAGAGATGAGGCCACAAACATAAATTGGTCGTTACCCATGGTGAACGATCCATTTCCTTACCAAAATAATTCATCATATAAATATATTATAGTATACATATAATAAAAATAGGAAAGATGAAAATTAATATTTAATATTATAAAGCTGATTACTCTCGTTTTAGCTGTTAACGACGGTAATCACAATATAATATTAGATAAGCAAATTTAAAAGTTATATTTTACAAAGACGCATCTCGGCATAACACAACTCATCTATAGACTTCATATTACACCAATAACAGACTATGATTACCTTTAACTCTGTGTGATGCTGGGTTAAAGCACCATTGAGTACAGCCTGAGGAGGAACAGCTGACATAGGGAAGCAGCAGACACTGTAGGTCACAGTAGTTTCCAAGAAACTGTTTTTTGTGCTTCATAACATTGTATTATATTTAGGTTCTATCAACTAATACTGGAGTCCAACTACAAAGATCATATTTTTCAGTGGAGGCTACTAGACAGACTCATCGATGGAGATGACAAAGCGCATATCAATACAGGTCCTGGGCAAAGCTGAGGGATTGGCTAAAGCTTGTCTCCTTGGTAGTCAGGAAAAATCTTGATTACTTTATGTGTCTGCACTTGCACATGGGTTTAACACAACAAGTGTGGCATGTGCCAAATATTATACTTTATTCAATGTTCACCTCACAACTATTGGCATGCCCTCTTAACCACTGAACTGGCAATTTAGAGAACAGCAGTTTTGGGGCCCCATTGCTGTATTTATAGTCCAGCTCAACCCACCTACCAGGTGAGAAAATGCTTCACAAGCCAAGGTGATGTCACATTTGCCTGCCTGGCTGGGAGGGCAAACTTTTGCCAAGTCTGGCCAAATCCACTCATGGCTTTGAGGGGTTCTTGGCTCTCTCATCATTATATTACTAATTTAATATCTTAACATTGTAAATAAGTGGTGAAGGGACACATGAGTAAAAAATTCTACCTGTGCAGTGTTTGCTTGCCCTTGTCTTACCCTGTTGATCACTGCATTGCTGACTTCATTTATGGCCAGATGCTATGAGCCTTTAACCCTTTCAGGGTCGAGAGGCCCTCTCCTAAACTTGTTCTCAGGGTCGAAAATTTTTGAAAAAAAAAAAAAAAAAAAAAAAAAAAAAATCTTATGAAATGATGGAGAATCTTTTCCCTATCATAATGACACCAAAAGTATGAAATTTGATGGAAAACTTATGGAATTATGCTCTTGCGAAGTTAGTGGTCTCGCCGATGTTTACGCATCGGCGATTTCACCCAATTGGAGCCCTATATTCGGCGAATTCCTGTGTACTAGTCAACAAAAATCATATTTATTTTGCTAGAACTCCATTTTTTCTATCGAATGAGTACAAGAAACCACCCATTTACCAATTTTAACTATCCAATAAAGTGGTAAGAATTTGGCAATTTTGCCAATTTCACACAAATTTCAGAAGATACCAATTTCCAAATAGAGTCCAGAATAAACAAGACAGACATTCCTGGCACTAAAATAACATTTCCTCTGTTCATCAGTCACGACCCCAGGCCCCTCTTATATTTCTTTTGCTTTCCACTTTGAATTCTTATTCTTACAAAAAATAGAAGATTTACTGTTATGCAGACTACTGCATTAGTGTAGAAATGGTATAAATAATATCAGCACACTTGTTAAAGAATATTAGACTCAACATTGACATGTATTGGACGCTAGGCATGATTTGTTTACTTTTGAACTTTGGTAAAAATCGAACACTTCTGCTACTTTGAGCTCAATTTCAAGGTACTCTTCATTGTGAAACCAATCAAAATCATCTCAATTTCTGTCATATGTCTTCAATTCTATAAAATGAGACCAGGAAAACTAGAATACAACCATAAATACCATACGAAAATACAGTGCAAAGTCGCTGTTTTAATTCAAAAACACGGTCAAAGTTTTTTTTTTCTAATTACGCATTGTGCGCTGCAGGATTTTTTTATACTGCACACACTGACCACATAGACCCATTCTTTCATATGTAGGCCTACCAGCTTTCTCTTGCTAGATTTGAAGGTGCTAGAATTTAGGCGTTCCAGTACGTCAATAACCCTGGTGCGTAAGCCTTACTAGTACGTTGAAAACCCTGAAAGGGTTAACCCCTTAACTGTCCAAACATAGATCTACGTTCTCTCTCCCAGCACTCCGAATATTTTGAAAAATAAAGAGGATATTTTTTTACAATGAAAAAAAAAAAAAAAAAATCTAGAGTCAATACTTAGAGATATAAGGCTGCAAAGTCGGCACTTTTCACTCATCTGATGGCAACAAGAAGCGCTGCCACTTGCGTATGTGTTGCCAATATACCTTTTTATCTCAGTTTTTTAGTTTATATAATTTTTATGTTCTTATAATGACAATTTGTAGTACTTCTTGTGATTTCATAGTTAATCTTTGTTCACTAATATTAGGTACTGAAATAGTGCTCAAATAGTCACAAACACAGTGAACATTTTTACCTTAGTCACATACTATTGTCTAGAAATATATACATAGTATTTACAAGTCCCAGCAATGTTTTGGATACACTGGAGTATATAATAATAATAATAATAATAATAATAATAATAATAATAATAATAATAATAATAAGTTCCCTTGAAGCTTGATGTAAGTGTGTGTCACTTCTCTTATCTCTTCACTCCACTGCTGACAACGATGAGCGTAGTCTTATCTAATCTTATCTCTCCGCTAATGTCAGTGGTGACATTTGATGAGCATTGCCTTATCTTATCTCTCTGCTTTGATGAGCGTCGCCTTATTTTATCTCTTTGCTAATGACAATGGTGACACTTGATGAGCCTTCCTTTGTTTGTTTTCACTCTTATACATAAACATGTCTGTCTGTCTATTTGTCTGCCTGTCTGTCTCAAAGAGTTGCTCATGAACCATCTGATATTACACACGATCG